TCGACTTGTTAAGTGAGCTGGTTCATACTGCTATCTTTTGCATGCGTGAAGAAGGCCTCCTGGCCATCGCGGCCCACCACCACCGCGGGGGCCTCCGGGGCCTGCTCCGGCTCGGTGAAAGCAGCTGCACGGGTGCGCATGGCCAGTGCGCCGCCTCCCGGCCCCGGCCCGGGGACGGTTAGCGGCGACGACGGCGCGGCGCCCGGTGACGCAGTTCTGCTGTATGCGAGCGAAAGAGAGACGGAGAAAGGGAGAGCGGAGGTCGGGGGGAAGGGGCGGGTGTAAACTCGCTAGCCCCCCCGCTGCCGGCCCGATGACCGCGTATGCTAATAGCCCCGTCGGTGATCCTGTTCCCGGAGAAGGGGAGGGCTGCAGCAGGGCGGCCCGCTCCCGATCCTGATCGTGATCCCGATCCGTCGCGGATCGTGTGGCGCTAATGACGGGAGTGCGCGCTTGGAGGTGTGAGGACGACACACCACCGCGGTGGTGGCGCCCTGCACCCCCCCCCCCCCCCACACCGAGCTGTCGCTCCCTTCCGCGCGCCACAATATTCCAGGCTGCTATTCCATTTCTGGCGGCGCGGTCAAATTAAGGATTAATCGGAATCGATTAGCAGCGGCAGCTGCTGCGCTTGCGGCGGTGGCGTAGTTCCTCAACCTCGGCGAGCGCGTCGCTGGATCGCCCTGCTATGCTCCGACTTCTGTTGGTTGCCTTTTGCAGGTTCCGAACGCACTCCGTGTGCCGCAATGCCTTGCCCCCCGCTCCGTCAACGTAAGATGAGATGTGTGAGATGTTGTTCTTCAAGTTTGGCTGCTCGCGCGGTGCCGTGCACCCGCTCGCCACGCCGCGGCAGGGCGGGAGGAGGAGGGGGAGGGGGGGCGACGCAAGAGAAGTTTGTTCGGGAAGCGTCCGTCTTGGCCAAGCCCGTCCGTCGTGTCAAGAAGGCGGGGCGGGGCGGGGCGGGGTGGAATGCCCACGGCGGCAGCGCGCCGCGCCGGAACCGTGCGGAGCAGTCGCGGCCGTGCCGGCCCGGCACCGCGCCCCGCAGCCCCCGCACCCCTTCCCCTCTCGACCTGCGCCGCGGTGCCAAGCGATGTGCCTGCTGGGCCAGCCGCGCGCGGCCCGAGCCGTGCCGAGCCGCGCCGAGCCGCGCGCCGAGCCGCCGGGCAGGCAGCCGAGCCCGGCCGAGCCGGTCAGTACACACAGACAGACACGACACACACAACAACCAGTTGAGTTGGATCGCTGGCGCAGGGCGGACGCTACGCTGTCGTCCTCCGCGCCCCTCCGCCGTGCCCGCCGTGCCCGCCCCGTGCCCCCGTGCCGTCAGTGCCGTCAGCGCCGTGTCCGTGTCGCCCCCAGGCCGTGTTACGTCGTGCCGCTGACCCCCGCCGCCCCCCGCCGCGCCCCGCCTGTGGATTCGGTGATAAGGATGCCCCTAGTGTTGCTCTAGCCCGCGGCACATACCACAGTGGAGTTAGTGAGTGCCATTCATTCTCAGTGCAGTGTTCAGTGCTCAGTGTCAGTGTGTGCGTGCTCGCGTCCGTGTGTGTGAGTGAGTGAGTTAGTGAGGTGCAAAGTGAGTGCGGCTTCGCCATGCCAGCGGCGTAGACCATGCGCGTGTGCTTCGACGACGCGGCCAGCGGCATGCCCATGGAGAAGCAGGGCCTCGACCTGTCCGCGGGCCAGGGCCCGGGCCAGGGTCCTGGCGGCGGCGCCGGCGGCGTGTCGGGGACCCTGTCCGGGGCCCTCTCCGGCCTGCACGCCGCCCTCGCGCCCCTGGCGCCCCTCGGCTCGGCCCCGCTGGGCCCGCTGGGCGCCCTGGGGGCGCTGTCGAGGAGCGTGGACGGCGCGTTCCCCTCGCTCAACCTGAGCCTCAACCTGCCCCTGTCACTGCACCTGCAACAGGCGCCCCTGGCCTCTGGCCTGCCACCCCTGTCGTACCACGTGAGGGACTTCAAGGAGATGGTCCTCGCCTCCCTGATCAGGGGTAAGCAGCACCCTGCAGCGCCCTGCAGCACCCTCCGACAGGCCCCGCGCGCCGGCGCCTTGGTGGGGCCCCGCTGGGTGGCGGCCCCATAGGGCGGCCCGGCCCGGGGGCCCCGCGTGGGGAGCCCGGCTGCCCCGTCGTCGCCGCTCCTCGCGGCCCGGTCCTCCTCCTTCTCTAGGACCGCCGGCGCGTCCACTTCGCCGCACTTCCCGGACCTGTTCGTCGTCGTCGTGGCCTGGCCTTGCTCAACCTCGCGCGAGCCGGTGGTGGTGGCGGCTGCTGCCCCGCGCCTTACGCCCCTTTCGCGCCCCTGGGAGGAGATGAACGGATCCCAGCTATTTTCACCGGCGGCGAGCCGGGCGGCGCCGAGCTGCGCCCCGCCGCGCCCCGCCGCGCCCCGTGCCCATGCCGGCGCCGCGCCGCTCGCCCCGCCCGGCCCCAAATAGTTGGAGGCCGAGTCCTACGGAGACGCGGAGAAGCCAGACGGGCGTCGTTTGCCTCGCCGCTGCGCTGCGACCCAGACGCAGCTCAGAAGTCGCTCAGGGACCGACCACGTGGAATCAAAAGCAAATGGAAACCTGCCACGTAGAGCGTGATGGCAATCGGGAGGAATAACGCAATGCAGAAGACGTCTCATGGGCATGAGGAAATTGGGGGGGGGGGGGATGGTTGGCCCGCGAAGTTCCGCAGCGCGCGAGGCGGGCAGAGTGTTGTTTCTGTCGCGCCCGCCCCCTCCGCGGCTTCGTCTGCTCTCCATTTACTCTGCGACATGCGCAACTAGGCTGCTGATTGCTCGACTGATGACGCGTATGGGGATCGCTTCCTGACCAGCTGTATGGTGGGCCGGTGACGGCTCGCTGTGAACGGTGACGTCACGGTGAGGGTGACGTCATGGCGAGGCGCCCGGCGCGGCCCGGGGGGGAGGGAAGGAGGGGAGAAAGAGAGAGATAGGTCACGGGGTGATAGGGGAGGGTCCACATTGTGGGGTGTGGGGTGCCCGGCCCGACCGCCGCGTCGAGCGTGCGTGTGAGAATCCATATACAGCACAGCGCGGGGCCTGCATGTCAGCAGCGTTTGGAAACAGGACCCGACCCGCGTGTCCACAGCGAGAAATTGTGATGAGGGTCGTGGAGTAGGAGTGCATGTCGCGGTGCCGCGCAGCGTGGGAGAAAGAGAGCGCGAGAGAGAGAGAAGTACAGTTTGCAGACTTGCAAAGGAGACGTATTCGCTGTGCCGAGAGATTTTGCTCTGGAGCAGGAGAAGGAGGAGACAGGATCAGTGGCGCAGACCGTGGCGCAGACGACACGGGGAAGTGGATTGGACTGCTGATGTCAGGAGAGCGAGGGGAGGGAGGGGCGGCTCGCGGGCTGCTCGCTGGAGGAGCGCGGCGCTGCGGACAGCGTGGATGATGACGATCGTCTCGCCTTATGGAGACACGATCTGAAAATTCCACCGCACACTAAAAGATGGGCCTTATTTTTTATAGTCACCTTTTTTGCCTGCTCCCAAGGCTGCTTTCCGATCGAGAGGACTGGAAAATAAATGAAAAACATTATTCGGAGGGCACGTCAACAAACACCGCGATGAAAGGATGAAATAAGATGTGCGCGCAGGACGGCAGAGGCCTTCGCCTCTCTCGATTAAGTCTGGGCGCGGAGACTGGCCACGTGTCGCGCCGTGCCCAAACAAGTCTCGGGAAATGGATCGTGAATAACTGCTAATGCCCTCCCCGCCGCCCCCCGCCGCCCCCCGTCGCGGAGGCCCTGGTGGCGGTGGCAGCGCGCCAGTGTGGTGGACCCGCGACTGTAGTAGAGGTGAAGGCTAAAAGCTTGCCGTGTGTCGCGAGTGCGCGGCCTTTACTCCATTCCATTGTGCCCCGGAGGGAGGAGGGCGGTGTGTACACGGGGAGCTATAAAGAGAGAGACTCCTAGGGAAAGGGGTACTAGTAGGTAGGTTCGGTCACGGTTTTCGTGTGAAAACGCTCGCGGTCAGGCTCGCTATACGCATCGGGAGGAGATGTTTCCGCGGCGAAGTAGTAATAAGGAAGCTGGTCGAGCAGATCAGCGGCGCGACAGGACAGGCGGGAGGAGGAATGATGTCGCCCGTCATTTTTATGTATCCTCTCGGGCGTGTCCCTCAAAGTCGCGCACGGCGGCGCGGCGGAGTTCCTTACTGACACGGACGTCCTCCTTTTTATTTATATTTTATTTTTCTGCTTAAATAAGTTTTTGCTGAATAAAAACCCCGGCACCGCGTGATATCGCCTGCCGCCTCGTCTTCCTTCCTCCAGGCGGCTGCTGCTGCTGCGGCGGCGGCGTGGAGTCTGTTTGCGGCGCCCGTATACCTAATCTGGTGTCACGTGCTGCTGCGCCGCCCTGCCACGTGGCGAGCCAGGCGAGCTTGGCGAGGATCGGCTGGCTCTCCTTTGCTCGCCACGTCGCCGTTGTCGCGCCCCGCAGCCCGCAGCTTACGCGCGGCCGCGCTGTGCGGTTGGGTTAGGTTGTCACCGCCCGCCGCTTCCGCCCGTCAGCAGACACACGGCCCCGGCCGGCAGCTATCGCGTGTTATTGCTTAATTCTCTTGTTGGCCAGAGGTGGGTTTTGCCTGCCTGCCGCTCCTGCTTTGCTCCGGGACAAACAACAACACTCCTCTTGGCCCGGTCGCGTCGTCGCCGTTTAGGCCGCCTTGTTTTGCGCCGGCGCTGTTTTTCATTCGCAAACCAGCGCCGCCGCCGTGCTTACCTGCACGACCCGCCGCGCCGCGCGCAGCCGTTTTCCTGGGCTTTATTTAATTTATGGATGCCCCCTTCCCCTCCCCCCCTCTCTTCTGTCTGCAGGGCCGCCTCCTAGAGACACGCGAGAGGCAATAACTGTCGGCTGCCCCCCCCCCTCTCTCTCTTTTCCCTCCGACTATTCCCCCGTCTCCCCCGCAGTCACCTTTTCTCTCTCTGTTTTTCCCGTCTCGCTCCGAAATGAAGTGAACTAACCGTCTTGTGTTCTGCTTGTCGCAGGTGAGTCGGCGTGCTCAAGGATTTCCTCGAAGGCGAACGGCGGCAAGCTGTCGGACGGTAAGTGTCCTGAAGGGGGAGGGGTCTGAACTTTGCAACCGTTTGGCGAACGCGTAACGATACCTGTGGTCATGAATGGGATGATCCTTTCGTAACGCAAGCTAGACATTATCGCCCGTCTGCCGATTGCCGTGTTGTTTGTTGTCTCGGTTGCGACAGCGCTATGCCACGCGTCCGCAGGATTCTAGAACGACAAAGACAAGAACACAAGGCATAGACATACGTAGTGTGTAGTGTAGGGTATGCGGATCTCGGCTTGTTATGGCCTTTTATCGAAATCTCGGGTCACAAATGTATAAGGATTCCATGTTAAGCGTCAATCCTGTAGGCATTTTCGCTCATGCTTGTCCCTGCGTGGGTCACACACGGCGGCGCCCGCGCAACAGCGCTTGCCTGGCCTCTGTGCTAGGAGAGGGGTGGGAACAAACCCTTTTAGTTGAGATGTGTTCTAAAACTGTATGATGACTGCTTTAGTCAGGCTGCAGTCCTCCACATCAATTCAAATAACTTTCGTTAAGCGCTTCTCTAAAGGCGTCTCGGCTCAGCTTCACAACTTGACTCGAATAACTGTACTACAGTAACTTAAGTGTCACATTTGACTTAAAGTTCCCGGTCCTGCGCTTGAACGTGGGGCGGGGCGGGGCATTCTTGTATTTACAATGCGGAAGTGAAAAAGAGCAGACCGAACCGATTCGTCTGTTTCCGCTGAGCATGCATGAGAAATCGCGTAGCGCGCGTTTCTAACCTCTCAAATACGCACCCAGAAAACCGTTTCTTTGAATTAAAGAAATTTTACTTAATTCAACGAAAATTTCGTGCCAGAAACCAAAGAAATCTTTTTCGTTCATATAACGAAAAAATTTCTTTCACTCAACGAAAGTTTTGTCAGATTGAACAAATTTTCGTTGAGATAAAGAAATTTTTCTTCAAATCAACGAAAATATCGTCAGTTTGTGATTTCGTTAAGTCAAAGAAACGGTTTTCTGGGTGCGGAGAGGAGCTGCTGGAAACTGATACGGCCGTGTGTTTCATACCTCGGTATGATGCCCGTGGGAGCACGTAACCTGCTCAACCAATCAGAACCACTCCGGAAACAGCAAAATTGGGAGGTCTCTCCTCTCCGGCTCGCCTCTGAGAAACAAATCTGTTTGTGCGGGCGTGGTGGCCCCTCCTCGCCACGCCACGCCGCGCCCCGCCACGCCCCGCCACGCCCCGCCCCGCCACGCCCCCGACACCGCGTCAGCAGCGCCCGAGATGAGACGAGGGCCGCCGGCAAATAACAATAATAATGACAACAACAATAATATTTATCCTTACGACAAGGACATGAGAGGAGAGCGCGAGAGAGAGAGACGACGCGCTCTGGGTTTGTGTATTCACTGCGGCCTGCCTGCTGCCCGCATGTCTCGCGTATTAGCATTTGCGCCCGTGTGAGTATGTGTGTGTGTGTGTGAGTGTGTGAGTGTGTCGTGAGGAGAGGGGCTTCCCCCCACCTCCCCTTGTCTTTACACGGCTGCCCCTCGTCCGTCCCACCCTTGCCGCTGCTGCCCTCTGCCCGTGCACGCACGCACGCACGCACGCACGCACGCACGCTCGCACGCTCGCACAGTCTCGTGATGGAGCCCGGCGTCACCACGCGCGGTCCTTAAGATGACTCTGAGCACGCAGTTTCTCATGCACTTGCTCGTTTTGGACGGACCTTCTCGTGAGGCGGGCTGGATTGTCCGAATAAAACGCTCCGTATGAGAAATAACGCGTGCACTTGCGTACGTCCATCGACTGCCGGTCGGGCGCTGCCGCCTGGCGTAGTCGGCCCAGAACACACCTCCTCGCCTCCTCCTCTGCCCGTTCCGCCTCAGCGCATCCGTTCCACCAGGACGTGTGTGTTGTGTGCATGTGAAGGTGAGTGCGCTGCGCCCGCTGCAGACTCCCCTGTATGGTCAGGCCCCCCGCCCCGCCGCCCCGCCCGGTAGCCAGTCATTGACTGGGCTGTACGCCGCCGCCGGAGCGCCCCCAGCCACGCCACGCCTCGCCCTAAATCAGTGCAGAGTTCATACACCGCGCAGGCGTTGGCGCGTAAGTGGCTTGCTTTGCCCTCCATGTGCTCCGGTACGTGAAAAAAGAAAAAAGCTTGTGATACAGCTTATATTTTTGCGAATTTCGTTCAAATTACTGAAAGCAATCACCCACACACAGCCACAACTGGCGGAGTAAAAACCTTAACCGAGACAATCGAACCGGAAAGTGGGTCTCAGCTAAGACGCGTGAAGGAGAAGCGTCGCGCAATATTTGTCAGTAGCAAAAGACCTTTAAAATTATTTCGTTTTTCAAACTGTTCACGCCCTCGTTTCATCCCCGTGCAGTAGCATACTTACAGTAAACAGTAAAGTGTAGCAACGTGGGACTGCTCGCGTTGCAAATCTGCAGGGTGATGTCCTCAGGTTGCTCTTCCATTTCTGATCTCCGGAATAGCATCCTATTTGCTCGACTAATACTGTCTTGCACCGGGCGATCGGGGAGCGTCGTGGCGCGCGTTGGGTGAGATTTCAAAGATAAGCTTTTTTTTTGTCGCATTTTTTTTTCTTTCCTTCTCCTTTACTCCCCCGATAAGCAATCTGGTCGCTCACTTGGAGCGTTCACTTCCCTCCCCCCCTCCGCCTCTTTTCTTTCTTTCAGCGCGCCCCACAATATCCCCCCTTGCTTTTGGGGCGCACGGCTCGTGATAGGCTGAGCCCTCCTCGCGGCCCGGGCCGGGCCTCGTGCCGGTTAACCGTCCCGTGCACGTACTGCCCTGCCCGTCATGTCGACCACAATTTCATACTGCAAAAACTTGGCCACCAAAGTTTTGACGTCCCGTGTAATGAGTTTTCGGTGAAGGCGTGTGGTATATTATAATTGTACCTTAAGTGTTTCAATCTGTAAACATGCAAACGTTCGACGCCCTTGTTGTGCAATTGCATGTGTTCAGCTAAGTACTAGGTGAGTACTAGTATGTATACGGTTAAACACCTATTACATCAGTGAAGTATATGCTACAGTTCGCTGGACACGCGTTGCGCTGCACCCCGGGTCCTGCTGGAGTCCCACCCCAACCCTACAATGCCCCACATACGGCCCGAACTACCGCCGCGCGTCCCGCTCACTGCCCCTGCACCAGGTGGCAAAAACGATCGAAAACTACATTAACCGCCTGATGAACATCTCGCATTTTAATCTGGTTCGGTGTGCCGGCTGCAGTGCGTATCGGCGATTATCCTGCCAACCTGGGTACAAACAGCAGTAAATGGTACACCCTACAACCAACCATACGCTCACGTGGTTGTGTGAACCAAGAATTTGTGGTTCTCCACACCCTTGGCATATGGTCGCCCAGTGTGCGCTATTCGCAGCTGTTCCCTGTGCTCACCATTCGCTGGTGGTCACAGCTGATCCGGGTGGGCTTGCCGCGCCCGTGCTGCGCGCCACGGCCCCGGGGCGTGCTGGCGCTGGCCCGCGATGCTGCGGCGCGCGCATTTGCGCCCTATGGCCGGGCCGGCGCCACGGCTGCTGTTGATACGGCGCGGAGCTCCGCCCGCGGCCTTGGCAGGCCCATGTGCGCCCGCGTACAGTGCGACACCTGCTATGGGCCTGGCCCGGCGAGGCGGTTATCTATTTTCGCACAATCGAGAGCGAAATTGGCGAAGCGAAGGTTACTCGGTGGCGCCACATCACACTTGCACTTCTCTCAGGGGGCGCCCTCCATACGCTCGAGGGCGCTTCCAAGTGCCGGCGCTTACCTATCAGTGGCAAAGAAAGCGGCCAGAAGGCTTGGCGACAGGATCGGCCCGGGACTCTTTGGTCCGGGGACTCTTTGGTCCGGGGACTCTTTGGTCCGGGGACTCTTT